TCATACCATTGATAAACTGGACTTTAAGAGAACTTATTAATGAAGGTGGCAATTTAGTTCTGCCTGAACCAATAACTAGTTATATGATCTTGCATAAATCATTTTCCCTTTCTTGAATCAGGTTCCTTCAGGTAAACAAAAGCTATAGACTATCTGAAAGCCCTTGTAATTTAAACATTCTGTCATTTTAACTGTATTATTGTTTAGTTCTTCAACTATATTATCAACTCACTGAAGCAAGGATTTCATCTTCCTTTTGATAGTTCTCAAAATATATTGCACAGCATATTTGATATAATAATAGAAATTTGTCTACAACCTCAATTCTCAAACCTTGACTTTCTGAGACTCAGTCTTCCCCATATAGCGATCTCCTGCTCATAATTCCTTTTTTACTCATCCTTCTGCCTTTGCAAATTATTCAAATAAAAGACTTGCCAGGGACCCACAAGGCTCCATATAACTGGCTCAAATCTCGCTTGTTTACGTTTCTAACCTTATCCTTTCCCATTTTTCTCCCTTGCTGTCTTAACTGCAGCCACACTGGCTTCTTGCTATCCCTGGAACAACATCAAGCATGCTCCTTCAAGGGTTTGCATTTTTTGTTTACTTCTAATACACTTTTCCAAGATATCTGCACAAGTAATTTCTTTACCTTTTTCAAGTTTCTGCTCATTGTCAATGAGTCTCACTTTAACCAACTTAACAGAATTAAAATTGCACACTCCTTCCTTTTGTGCTCATAGTTAGGTTGTATGCCTGCCCAGCCCCAAATCAAACACAAGTTCAGGGCTGTAGTGATTGTCTTTGCTGATGCAAAATCATATTTGATGGTGCAAAATTTTCATAGGGTAACTGAAAGGAACTATTAAGAATATCTTAGCACATTACATATTCTAATTTAGAGGTAAAGATCTGATTTCTTAGAAATTTGGTGGAAGCATTTTAAGACTCAATTATGTTTTATTAAGATGAAATCGTTTGCTTATTTTCCATCTGTATATCTTCTTTGATGAAATGTCTGTTCAGCTCTTTCTCTTATATTTTCTTTATTGGGTTGGTTTCTTATTACTGAGTTTTGAAAGATTTTAATATATCCAGGATACAATGACTGTTGGATTTGCATTTTTTTCTGCCATCTGTATCTCGTCTTTTCATGCTTTTAACTAACATTGTCTTTCACAGAGAATAGTCCTTACTTTTGATCAGTTTATCAGTTTTGTTTTTATTTCCGTTTAGAGTTCCTTTTGATTCTTCTTTGATCATTAGGTTATTTAGAAGTATGTTAATTAAGTTACAAATATTTGGGGATTTTCCTGTGATGTTTCTGGTATATTTTGATAATATAATTCCAGAGAATATCATGGTATGACTTGAATCCTTTTAAGTCAATTAGGACTTGCTTTGTGGTGCAGTATATGGTTTCTTCTCTTAAATGTCCCATATGCCCTTAAGGATTTGTTTGAGATTACAGTTAAGTTATTTGGAAACAGTTTGAACATTTGAGGCTTGCTTTTAAGCTTTGGTAGGTGAAACCAGAGTCATCTTCAGTCCAGTGCTGATTTTGTCCCACTGCTAAGGTATTACCCCTCTGAGTACTGTACAGGATACTCTGTTGATCATGAGAGTTTCCCACTCTGGGTGGTGTGAATGTCAGCTGATTCTGGGATTTCCCCCCATTTCTTTTGGATGATTCTTTCCTCAGTGTCTGGTAGTTTCCTCATATGTGTGCACTGATCATCAGCACTAAAGTCTTGGGTGGGTTGGTGGTGAACCTTCTGCAGCTCTCCAGAGCTATATTCCTGTGCAGCTTCTTCTCCTGTTCTCTTTGTGGAGTCTAGATGCTTTGGCCTTCCAACCTCATCTCAGAGAGACCACTGGACTCTGCCTGGGTTTCTCCCACCTTGTGCCACATCCTGGAAACTCCAGATAGTAAGACCAATTGTCAGGTTTACCTGGTTTGTTTTATCTCTGTCAGGGATCACTTTCTTGCATTTACTAATGTCTGAAATTTGTTTAATGTATTTTTTTTAGATTTTTAGTTGGTAAAGAGGGAGACAGCAACTACAGTTTGTACTTTCTGTTGGCTGGAAGCAGATGTCCTGTTTACGGATGTAAAAGTGTTGCTTTAACATTCTGTATCCATGGTTAAAAGAAAAGTTATGGTGACTAAGTACATGGGTAAGTAATTTTTGGGAATATAGTTACCATGGAACTTCTGAGGATCTTCTGTCATCTTTCTGCCAAAAAGTGATTCTGCATCAGCATCTTCCATGTTATGTTTCACAGTTCATAACCCAAGTCTTCTATGAGAAGGAAACTGGCCCAGATTAGGTCATATGTTTGACTTATCAACTCTGGCCTGAGGTCACATTCACCAATTATGGATGCAACTACTGAAAACCCACCCTGGATATAGGATGTAGCTCCTAGAAAAGAGGGAATTGTTGTAACCTGACTGTCATTCTCTATGTGGATTTAATGTTAATATTTTTTGGCTTCGAAAGGAAAATACTTCTGTGTCTAAATGAGAAAAATAGCACCTTAAATTCAAACTTCAGCATTGTTTCAAAATAATTTGTCATGAAAGCTTCTTTTCCAATTATAATATTAGATACTCCCCTTTGTCCTGTTATACAACAGAAGGTTCTCATGCATGCTAATTGATACTGGATCAGTGACAGCAAGGAGAAGAAATGTAATAAACAGGTGTCAGAGAAATCTGTGTAAATACAGTTGAAGGGGAAAGTAAATAGGGACATTAAATTGTCGGAAATTAGAAGGTAATCAAAATCTGCTGGAAGAAAATGAGCTAGGTTATCTGCTTTCGAGGTAAGATACCTATGTTACCCTTTCCTTTCTAATGCAATTTCAGCAGAATCTGGAAATTTTGTCTTAGAACTAAGTAATGCTTTATTTCCTCAAGGTGATTGGAAAACACGGTTCTACCGGACTAAAGGCAGATGTGTAACTCAACAGGAAGACATTGCTTTACTTGTTTTACTTTTTTGAAGCAGAATTCTAAGTATTTATTTTTAAATTCGCCAATTTTTGCATAATTAGAATCTTGAGGCTTCCCTACCTGTAGTAAATTAGATCCTGGATACCTATGTGAATATTTTTCTTGTCTAGCTAAGAAAAGGCCTAAAAATGAATAAGGATCGTTGCTGCATTCTCACCGTAATGAGTAAGTAGGAGAACTTCCTATAACACTTGGTAGATAGAGGCAAACAAGGTCTAATAGAGTGCAAAAATCTTGTTTTCAGGGGCCTGCGGAGTTTTGTCATACCTCCAAGATGGAATGTTTAATGTTGCTAGATGGATGTCCACAAGTGTTTAGAAAGAACTGCTATTCAGTATTTGTCAGTATGTGTTTTAGAACTATGGATGATTTATTGAGAAGTCAGGTTCCTGGGACATACTTTGATTATTTTAAGGATGGAGGTGGGAGTATAATCTACATTTTGGAAAAAGTTTCCCGGGTGATTGTTATGCATCTGAAAGTTTGAAGCCATTGTTTAAAGGAATAGGGCTATGGTGATGCTTAGATACAGCCACTTTGACATGGGGCAGATGACTTTCCCACTACTCTGTTGGAGATGTTGCTGTCAGGATTATTGGTATGCTGCCTTATAGCTGATTGTAGGAAAGGAGCAGTGTCTCTGATATGCCCTTTGTGTGCAATTGGAATAACTGTGATAGAGTTAGGAATGGATGAAGGCTTATCAAAAGATGAAGAATGATTTAGACTCAGAATAGGCCTTTTTATGTGCAATTAGGCAGTCTTCAGTGATTTTCAAGAGACATAGCAACAGACTTTTGATGTCTTGCATAAATGCTAGTATTGAGAAATCTCATTTATGAAGTAGTCTCAAAGAGACATTCAAAAGAATAGATGTTTGGGTGTGTACTCAGCAGTCACAAATAAAGAGGAAGCTGTTTTCAGAATGAGCAGTACAACAAAAATATGGATAACAGTCTAAGAGAAAGGCAAGCAAAACCAGTAGAGCCTTGGAGCTAAGGAATAGCCATTCCAGTACAACAGGAATGCAGTATGGGCATTTGTAAAGAAAGGTTACAGTAACACATTTATCACAGATTATTTCAGGGATGATTTTTATGACATACAAAGAATTATTATTTTATTTTAAAACATAAGAGACTGCGCATGGTGGCTCACACCTCTAATCCTAGTGCTTTGTGAGGCCAAGGTGTGAGGATTGCTTCAGGCCAGGAGTTCAAGACCAGTTTGGACATCACAGTGAGACCCGGTCTGTACAAATTATTATTTTCTTTAATTAGCTGGGTGTGGTGGCACACGCCTGTAGTCTTAGCTATTTGGGAGGCTGAGGCAGCCTCAACTGAGGCTGCAGTGTGCTATGATTGTGCCCATGCCTCTGTACTCCAACCTGGGCAAGAGAGCAAGATCCTGTCTCGATTGATAGACAGACAGACAGATAGAAGAAAGAAATGATTGGGCAAACCGTTTAATCTTAAGTCTCAAAATGAGTAGATCTTATGTTCTCTCTGACTCAAAATTTTTGCTATTCAAATTCAATAAAAGTTGCAATCTGCAGCTTAAAATTGAGCTTGAAATCAAAAGAGTGGGTTGTTTGCAGTATTCCAGCCCATATTTTCTTTTTTTTTAAAAAAGTCCAATATTTATTTAAAAATCTAATCTGCCAGCTTAGCGTTTTCCACCAACTTGGGATCTGAAACTTTCACAGTCTTCACAATCATTTGCTTAGGTGCTGCCTTTGTAGGTACCTTAGCAGCAGCCATTGCAGTCTTTTTAGGTACTTGCTTAGCTTTTTTTTTGCTTCCTTAGCAGCCCTGATACCTTGTTCTCATTGAGCCTTTCTAACTTCAGGTTCTGATTCCTCTTGGCCATTATATCAGCAAGAGATGCACCAGTAATGGCCCCCTGCAATTTGACTGCTCGGCGGGTCCTTTCCTTTTGAATTTCTTCCAACTGTCCCTTTTTGTGCTTCCTTCTGTAGAGGACAGTACAGTTTATCTGCCGAGGATTCCCCTTGGAAAAGAACGCTGATTCGCATTTTGCATTAAGAAACTGGAAAACCTTCCTCTTGGTCCTGGCATAGCGCCTCCCGTGTCCGGGGTAGACCTTGTACTGGCTGAAAGTGGCGGCAGCTCCACGGGAGGAGAAAAGATGGCCCCAACCTGTATTTTTGAATAATACCCTTTAAAATTCATAAAAGTCTAAGAACGCTTTGTAAATGGAATGTTTCATAGTTCACACTAAAGTGAACATAAACTGTTAAGCAAAACTTTAGATCACTTCTTCTAACAAAGGAAATGTACCCAAGAATCCATGAGAAGTAACTTCAGAGTAATTTTTTTTTTTAACGGTGAATGCTCCAAGGTCTTGTGCTTTTAAATTTTATTTGGTTTAATTGCCAAAAGCCACGGTGGAACCGCGTAGTATTCTGAGGAAATAACCACTTGAAGCAGAGGTACTTTGCAGAACATAGAGTGGAATAAAGCCATTCTGCCTCCAATGTTTGGGTGGATGTATTTGGTACTGTAATCATTTTACTGATTGCATAATTCATTGATATAAAAGATACTAAATGGTAGCCATGTTGGACCCATTCAGTATTGGTTTTTGTGCCATTCTGTTAACTTTTGTATTGTTCATATATAATACAGATTTAACCAAATCTATTTTCTTATAATTGTGTGTTATTGTTTTATGAAATGTCCTTTTAAATTTTGTTAAATTTTTGTCCGTTTTTTCCACAGAAGGAGGAATGAAATATTTAACATTTTCTGCCAGTTCTCACTTATTCAGTGTGTTCTAGAGTCTTCAATTTAAATGTTGTTGTTTGCCAGGCTTAGATTTTCATGTGTCTATTAAAAGAGTAGGAACATACTCCTCCATGCCATACATCTGCTATGTATAGCATTGATTTTTTAACCCCTTAAGAATAAATGTATTACTTTTGTTAAGTTTATTGTAGGTTAAAAAAAAGCATATTTATGTTTCTCCTAAAATTTGGGAAATCAATTTATATTACTGTGTAGAGTATGTAACAAATGATGTATTCTTTAATTCTGAATCTTGTATACAGTAGTTACACCCTTGTCTTTCATTAATTGATGTCCATTTGTAGGTTTTTGAATTATTCTTATTATTCTGCAAAGTTTATTTTTTAAATTACTAATGTAATGTATTGCAGTCAATTTTGAAAGAAGGTAAAAGACTTTTCTGTTTATAGCAATAACACAAAACATCTATTTTTGTGCATTCCTTTTTAGATTTCAATATGAGCTTATTAAATGTGGTTGCAATCATATATAGTTTTCACTTAATAATTTTCAATATTGGTTGTTGCTATTGGTTTATATTACAAAATGATATTTCATAAACTGCAACAGTCCCAAAAGCCCCTCATAAATATTCATGAACTCACCCATAACAGTATACTTGAGAGAATCATCTTTTACTGCCATCGTACGACCGAATTTAAATTTATCTAATGTGTTTAACTTTTTACAGGTTTAAAAATTTACAAATAGTTTTTGTAAGAATGGTTTGGTTTATATACTCGATTTTCATTTCTAAGTTTTAATCTATTATCTACTTTTTAGTTTACTGTTTCTCTTTTGTTCAATATTTTAAAACTTATTCAGGAATATGAAAAGATATGACACTTTTATTTTGGCTTTTGCATTTTGATTGAGTCCTTCAGGGACAAATACAGTAGTGGGATTTCTAATGATAAATATTTAATGTAAACACTGCAAATAAAATATAAGTTTTTTGAATGTATCTTTTAGTTGCACAGATTTTTAAATGCAGGAGATTAGAATGTCATAAATAAGCCTGCGCGTTATTTTAAGAGCACGTATAGAGGAAGGGGTTGTATGTTGGTAAAATACATTTACTGACCCATGTGTGAATTGGTGACCAGGATTGTTAAAGCATTGAGTTCTGAAAGTTTTTCTCTTATCTTTATGTTCAACAATAGAAAGTTTTACCGTATGGTCAAATAACATCTTCATCAGGTTCTCAACAGGATACCTTAGTTAATTTTCAGCTGAGTGCTTGACAGGATTTTCTCTTTGGCTAGCTGGTTGGATGAGAGTCTAGACACTGAGAGGCCAGGCTTTCGTGGGGCCTCACAATATCATTATTGTGCATGTTGAGTAGGAGCAGCTTCCTCTGATGTAGGGGCTCCATGCACAAACAACGAAGACAAAGACAGAGCTTTTGTTCTCGAAGAGAAGAGCTAATCCGACTGCTACACACTGTGAAAAACCTTTTATGAGAGAGGAAAAAAAACTTTCCTGGAAGGTGAAGGGTTAGCAGTTTAACCTCTGACCGTAAAATAAGCTGGTAAGGGGGAAAAAGTGTTGGATAAGGTAGAAGAATAACAGGAGAAACATTCATCGAGGTCTGTATGCTGTGTTTATAAAAATGGGTTAAGCAAATAACTGTCAGGGGTGGATACTTGAGTTCTAATAATACATGCATATTTCTAAATTTTTTTTGCTTATTCTTAAACATAGGTGTTTAAACTTCTTAATTTGGAGGTTGTATATTGCAGACCACACCATAAATGCAGGAAACCATAGATGCCTAATATTTACTCTTTTTCCTAAGAAGCTCCATTATAGACTTCTTCAAGTTTTCAATATTTATTTTCTTGTTGTATGAGTACCAAATCTTGATTCTTTTTCTTCATTGATTTTTCCCCCAATTTCCTTATTTAATATGATCACCTATGTCTATAGAAATAAAGAAGCAAGACACTGCATATCTGCGGTACATAATTAAGACAGTCTCCAATTTGGAATTTGGCATTTTGGTACCTATTCTGTTGATATATAGGTCTGGTGGGCAGTGTTATTATACAACTCCTTGGAGAAGATGGTTGCAATCTTAGTGTACAAAGAATCCAGAGACTTCTGTCTGATCTTATATTGGCATTATCAATACCAGGAATGTAGTTACAGTCCATTTAGAGGTGATGGAAGTTAAGTTGCTAATAACTGTGTCATCTGTCTGCTTTTATCTACCAACCTTGACTAATTGCTTCTCCTTCTCTTGTCAGTCACATATCAATCTTGAGCAATAATTAATAATTAATTAAGGTTTTATGCACTTGGGCTTCTTGCTTGGATGTATTAATGTATGTAACTTATTCCTAAGAATAACTATACATATGGGGAAGCAGCAGCTTATATTGTATTATTTGAGTCATATTCTAAGGATCAGTCTGCCATGGTATCTTTTAACTAACTTAATGTTTCTTCTGTTATTCCGATTCCCTTTGGTAACAATACACATTTCTTCCTGTAGTTACCCAGTTTCACTTTTCCCATGACAGAAAATGAGAAAAGGAGATAGAGAAAGTGAGAGAGAGGAGAGATTGTGCTGGCGATTGAGTGATAATGAGGTAAGGGTGAAGAGATAAGTATAGAAAGTAGAAGCTGAGAGTGAGTTGAAGGAAAGAAAAACACGTGAAACACATAGGTGGGCCAGTTAGGAATGGCTGGTGAGCTGTTGTGCAGCGCTCTTAAGTTTTGAACTAATAATTAGTTGACGACAAATATAAAAATTTCATAAGGAATTACTCTTTAAGACAAAGGTATAGAGGATGGCATTACAAAACAAGTGACCAGACTTAGGAAGGTTCAGGGTGAGGGGAGGTAAATTTATATGAAGAGAAAGAAAGAGCAAGTAATAACCGACCGTTTTGCTTAATGCATTATCTCTATTCACTATGGTCAAATTTCTGCATCAGTATCTCAGTTTCTCAGCATTTTTTCCATCTTGCCTTACAACAATGAATATAGTGATAGTGAATAGTGATAGTGAATGAATATAATGATATAGTGATTATACATATATACACACACACACAGAGACACATATATAATCTCCACTCATCCTATCAACATCTCTCAAGGTGGGTACTGCTATTATCACTACTTTACATTGGAGAAAAGTGAGGCATAGAGTGCTGTGTAGCTTGAGAAAGATGAGGTATAGCAAGCTTGTCCAACCTATGGCCTGCAGGCTGCATGTGGCCAGGACAGCTTTGAATGTGGCCAAAAAATTCATAAACTTTCTTAAACTATTTTAAAAGTTTTTCCTTTTTTTTGTTTTTTTTTTTTTTGTGCTCATCAGCTATTATTAGTATATTTTATGTGGGGTCCAAGATGATTCTCCTTCTTCCAGTATGGCACCAGGGAAGCCAAAAGATTGGACACCTGGTGTGTAATGAGTAAATGACAATGCATGGCATGTCTATATGAAGTTTGACTTCAGTATCCAGCCACGTAACTACCATGCCGTGAATTCTTTAAGAATTCACTGAAGATATAATTATATACTACTGAAAGTTTTAAACTTCAAATGATAATCCCCCAACTCTTTTGTTGTTTTACTTCCTTACTACCTTTTGTAGGACAACCTAAATGGGAATTAATTGCTCACTTTCCTAGAGGATAGACTAGTATTAGAATATACAACAAATATAAGCATATTTTTGGTCTGAGGTCGTGAATTTCAAATTTATTCTTTTTCTTTCAGTTTGTCTTCCTGCTAGTTTCTCAGCCAATAATTATTTTTCTAAATGTGTGATTTTGTTTATTGTTCCAAAGGACATAATTCTTCTCTTTATGAGTTCTTTGCTAATCTGTTTTAATCCTTTTGGCTGTCTCATTTTCTCATTGTTTCTTACAAGTTGTGATGTAAATGCTCTCAAGAAGTTACCAGAATAAAGTAGTGTCTGCTATTCCTCGAAACTTTCTAGTGGCCAGTATCCTCCCAGATTTCAGTTGTCCTTCATGTTGAATCATGAGGTTGTCATATGGTAATATCAACATTATGGGCTCTAGTAAGCTAATTTTTAAAGTGATCAACCCTATTCTGAGATTGTATTTTCTTTTGATAGTGTGCCTATAAAATTCAGACATCTCAAAAATGTCAAATAATATACATATGTAATGTATATATGTACCGATTCTGATTAAACAACTTGTATCGAACTTATTTTTTTAAATGTTCTTAAGTTCAAGGAAACAGGTTTAATAATGTCAATGTTCATTTTCTTTTAAAATGTTAACCTTAGAATCTGCAAAATTAGGATTAACTTTCCTGCATTTAGTGTGGCACATTTGAAAAAAATTAGATAAACAAAAACTATTTTCAGTCTAAAAGCCACCATAACAGATTAAAAAATTCAAGTAGCCCTTTACTTTAAACATGTGATTCTAATTTAAGTTCCCATGTCATAATACAGAGATAAAAAATAATGGCCCCCGACACACCTTACTTGGCTTATATTGTATTCATGAAATGTTTATTTTTCCCAACTTAAAAATTAAGTGATTGTTTTTCATAAATATTCTGGATTTTCTTGAAAAATTGAAAGTATCTGTCAACACTGGACCCACATTCCACATGGCTGGAGCTGAATAATGGTTGCTCTTTTGAGAAAGGGAATGGGATCTATTTTTTTACTACATGTCCTTTTATAGTCTATCTTCTATAGGCTCATTCCACTCATTTATATTACCTATATATCTTAAAGGCATTTAACCTTGAAATCTCCCCTTTGTCTTTTCTACCTGTAAAAGGGAATATATTTGTGTAATAAATAAATAATTATACCTTGACTTTTTCTCAGGTTTTAAAGAAAATCTTAATTAGAAAACAAGTTTCATACCATATATAAAAACATTATTTTACTCTGTTTTAAAAATTCTTTGTGCTATACCTTTGGTTCTCAAAGTGTAGTCTGGTGGCCTGTGGCAGTTCTCTGGAGTACTTAAGGAGTTCTGTGAGGTCAGAACTTTTTTCATAGTAGTGAGACGTTGTTAGCCTTTTTCGCTCCCATTTCTCACAAGTGTATGGTAGATTTTTGCATAGGCTTCAGGACATGATGAAGTTATAACTCTGATGACTAATGAACTGTGTACTTGGAGATTTTTGTGCTTTACTAATTTTTAAGTTTTGATTTTTAATACATAAATGTCATTTACTGTAACTCACCTAAACAAAAGTTCTTTGATGACCCCAGTGATATTTAAGAGAATAAATCAGTCCCGAGACCAAAAAGCTTGAGAGGTACTGTGCTGTACATTATGGGGTCTAACTAAAAACACGTCAGTGGCCAGTGACCAAGAGTAATTTGTATAATTACTATTTATTCTACTAGATTACTGTTTGCCTATTTCTTTCTCAAAGTATGGGGCTTTCTTAATTAGTAATGGCTTTACTCTGCTGATTTGCTTGTTATCTTTAGTGAAAATATGTAGTGAAAATAAGGACAGATCACTTCACTCTCTTTAGTGTTAACAATTACTTGATTTATTATATTACCTTTAAATCAAAATTGATCAGATTTATCTTAGAGTAAGCTAGTTACATCTTAAAATAAGCATATTAAAATAAGCAAATTAAGTTTATGACATTTACTGTGAAAAATTGATATGATAGGGAATAATTTTATTTGCACCATTTTATATATATATATTTTTCCATTGAATGGAAGGAATGGAAAATATACTCAATAAAAAACTGAAAAACTACCTTTATAAAGTGTACATTAAAATTTGAAACATGATGCCTGCTTTCAGGAGCTTTGTTTAAATGAGGAGACACAAATAAGATGGTTAAGTAGCGATGATTATTGCCTGAAAGTGGGACAGTCTGTGTGGTGGTTGTGTTTTGGGAAGGTCTCATAGCTTAGGTCAGGAATAATGCATAGATTTTAGAGAGAGAAAAGTGAACATAGGATTTCAGAAGAGG